TTTTTTTTTTTTTTTTTTTTTTTTTTTTTTTTTTTTTTTTTTTTTTTTGTTATACATTACATACGAAAAAACATTAATTTCAATAATTATTTTTTCGAAAATGATAAATGAACAGATTTTATCAACAATCAAACTAGTAGAAAACGCATAAATTGTCATAGTTTGAAGTCGTAAAAATTACACATAAAGATTACTTTACGTAATATCTGGAAATTTTTAAAAACGCATATCTATTATATTTAAGCTAACAAAAGCAAAAAAAAAATACATCGCTCATAATGGCTAAAGATAACAGTCAAAAAAATAATATACAACGTACATTTATGCCTAAGAGTCAGATTTCGTTAATGGTAAAATTAAAGTAATAAATATACATTTATTACCAATTGTTTTTCATTTAATTGACTTTCATATTATTACAGCATGGTAATATAATAATTAAAGTAACTTCCTTTTAAATGAATCCTTACTCTATTCTATCATATTATTGTTGAATGCAAAAAAGCAATATCGTATCCAATGTCTTAGTTTTGCCGAATACAAAATGAAGTATCGAATGATTTAATTATTACTTGATTTAAAAGAACGCTACAAATATCTATTCAAGAATTCAATAATAATTAATGAATTGCATAAAGCTTAACACCTTCGATAATAGTTTTTAACATAAACATAACAAAAGAAACATCGATATAAATAAGGATAGCTTTTAATAAATACAAATGTTCGGAAGATGAAATAATTCATAAATTTTTCGTACGATAAGTCAATCATATATCAATGACAATAGAACAAAATACTTAAAAGAAAAAGAAAAGAAAAAAAAAAAGAAGAAGAAAAAACTTCCTAATAAAATAATAAATACCGATAATAATGCAATGAATATAACTCATATAAGGAGTGATATTAAAATAATTATTATTACTTCAAGTGCATTCATGAATCTTTATAAGTGCATAATAGAGGTAACATATCGAATGTGTGTTTTTCCTATTGTAAAAAATATAAATAATGGAGCGTATCGTGCATACATAAGCCAAACCAATTATTATGAAGGTGATTATATAAAATTCACCACATCCTTATAATATAAAATCTACGATATCGCAATTGTCTTTTATAAATTTCGCCATCCACATTTTCATAGATTTACTACGTACAATTCCATAAAATTATTATTAGCATTGAACATTTTCAAAACTTTTCAAGAACGCTTACGTAAGCTGCAACAAATTTTAACGCCATTGTCTGCTTAATGCGTTAAATTATTCTTGAAAATGCAATTAAACGACCATTTATCGGAAAATAATAGAATTTTTCTTTTATCATATAATGCAATGGCGACGACGTATTTTGACCTTTACATCTTACTAAGCTAAAAAATCATTAAAAATCGACGCGATGATGATATCTGCAATTGTTTACGAATATTCGGCAGTGAATATAATTTTTGATAAATATGCGCGAAAACTCGCGTGTAAGCATTAGATCGCTCGTGCTTTATTCAACGAAGACGAATTATCGATTCACTACTACTCACTAAAGTCACGTGCCAATTACATATTCGGAAAAGGATGTGGAACGAATACTTGGACCTTTAAACGTTTAGCATCGGCTCAGCAATTGACCGTCGGTTCCCTACGGAAGAATATGGCACGGCAAAGGTTAGCCTCTGAAAATTCCTTTACGTACGCAAGTATGGAATAGGCGATAATTGAATCGATTGCGCGCGGATGTCAGCTGTAAGAAAAAAAAAAAAAAAAAATGTACGCGCACAGTTGCGGTCGCACGTACAAAAGAGCCTGCGCAATTTTATACGCCTATCCGCCCCTGGGGAAAGACCATATATAAACGCGCACACGCACACACATATCAACTATCAATGGTTCCTCGTGCGATTGGGGTCGGGGCTCCAAAGTGACGCTGACTTAAATCTCATCGTTTTTTCTATCTCTGTTTCACCTTGTTCGACCGGTTGTCTGCCGCGAGTTTGCATAAGCGTGTAAAACCGTATTTACATGATGTTAATAAGTATTTAAAAGGGCCAAGGAAATATAGGCATGCGAACTCTAACCGATGTTGCGAAAGTGTAAATTTGACGAGGGAGTTTTTTGCGCGACACCCTTAGTGCCTCGCGTGCACATTGTTTAAAATTCCATAAGGCACTGGAGAGTCTCGGGCGATGCCACTTAACAAATCAATTCTAATTTCGCGCGTTTCCCTTATTGATTTTTAATCCATGTCATTGTGCGTAAAAGCAGTTTGAATTATTTAAGAAATCTTGAATTATTTTTTAGAAATCTTTAAGTGCAATTAATCGATAGGCCGACGTATATGTCAATGTTGAGCAGACAGAACTGTCGACGCTTTCGCTGGGGGGGGGGGGGGGGGGCAGAGGATCATTACAAATGTCGATTATACGATTATATAAATAGGGATCGGCTTGGCGTAAAAACATTAATAAATGCTCGAAAGGTCATTTATTGGCTTGTAGGAATAAGAAATAGATTGCGTGAGAAATAAATACGGATGAGTCGACAAAGTAATTTCGACCAAGAACAGAAATTATATCGGTAATGTATGCAACTGTGACGTTGGGCCGATTAGAGTAGCCACGAGTCCCGAGGCCACCAATTTTCTCACCAGCCACGGCAATCCCTCAACTACTACTACACAACATAATTAACATAAATCGCGTGGGAGGTGGTGCCAATTTATTTTTGAAGTTCATTATCGTAATTTCGTGATCGTCTCGCCGGTTCACTAAATCGCGAGTCCTCTCATAAGTGCGCATTGGTGCGAACTTGTATGCGAATTGTCGAATTGCGCAGGACAACGCGCAATCGCGTCAATGATAACATTCCATAAAATTGCATAAAAGCGTATAAAATGGCAAGATGTAACGCAGGCGCTTTAACGTGCAAATAAATTTCGCCACAATAAAATTATTCGATAATTGGCTCGCCTATAATAATTACATACGGCGTAATAATTCCCAGGCGTAACGAGCTTCTCCCGTGGCCTGGACGTGAAAGTGCACGGAAACCCGTACGCACTCGCTCGCACAGACACAGCGTGCGCCTATAACTGTAAATACCTTTTTTTTTCTTCGTCATCACGAGCGAGACACTGGAGCCAAGTGTGCACTCGCCGCTTCTCCCGTTGTACGCCCGTTACGAACCTGATAACATTAATCGCGTAGGTAACGCGAACTTTTTTTGGGAAATTCCCAGCCGCGGCGCGCATAGTCGTAGTTACCGAACTAACGGCCATTTGCATATAAGCCGACGGTTTGTTTACGCAGCCAACCGTTATCTCTCGACTTTACATACACATAGACGTGTGCATATTGTCGCGCGACGTTATTATTGCCCTTACGGAGTTCGGAGGGTTGCAGTTCCGCAATCGAAACATTAAACAGACGACAGATGCGATTGATAATGTTCTTCGAGCGACATAAAATACGTGCGCGTAGCTCGGTCGAGGGATTATTTTAATTAAATTTTACGATCCGATCTCAAATGGAATCGCCATCCTCGTAGAATTCAATTGGAATCGTCTTTGATAATCCGGGTACTCGCTCGATCCGCGCTCCGGCAATTACAAGGATCGTGAAAAATGGCTTTTACAATGAATTGTTGCGCGATCGCGCGTCTTCCTCTGGCTCCTTCCTTCGTTGCAGCTTATAAGCAAAAAAAAAAAACAAACAAACAAACAAAACAAACAAAAACAACAACAACAAACAAAGATCAAAAAGAAAAAAGGGAAGAAAATAAAATGTGAGAACGACGTTTAGTGGGAAAGTATCTCGCAAAATACGAAATGAAAGTTGCGACGGACGAAGCCGATATGACATCGAAAAGCAGCCCACGACTTCTTAACTACGAGGTGAAGCTCGAGCCTTTAAAACAAAACAAAACAAAACAACAAAAAAACAACAAAAAAACAACAACAAAAAACAACAAAAAACAACAACAATACAGCAAGATGTACAGAACTCAAGCGCACGCGCTCACGCGAGCTTATTGTTTGCGCAAGTACTTGGGGGGCATACGATGTTCCTTACAATACGCAGGCTTGTTACTTCGGCATTAACGTCACGGATGTTTCGTGCGCGAAAGTAGATCGATGTGGTTCAAAATTGACGCACGTTTTCCCAGCCGACGAGGTGACTAAAAGGTGCCGCCGCGGCTAGCTATAACTGTTTCTTCGCCCGGTTAAGGTGTGGATCCGGGTAACAAAAGTCATGAAACACAGTGGCGATAATGGGGGAATAGATGAGGGGTATTTGTCGATTTTTTTCATTACACCGAGCGCGTCGGCAAATTGCTTTGATGTATCGCTAGAAGGCGCAGTCTCGACACTTTTTATAATAATTCGAGCTCTTCCTGGATCTATCGTCATCTCCAACGCCAATGATTTTACGAACGATCGAGCGATCCTCGTTAACTGGCTTTACCAATGAATTTTAATTAAAATTTATTAAGCTCGGGTCGCATTTATAAGTGTAAATGCTCCTACCCTCCAACTCGAAGGCTCGAATGACACGATTACGTTTAATCCTTATAATTGCAGGCACCGCTGCTGGTGGCTCAAAAGGTATAAATCTAGTGTCTCGGGCCGATTGAAAATGCTGATTATTTGGAGAGTTGGAATGAGTGGCGGGGGGGAGAGGCGGGAGGGGGATGGGACACCTGGGGGGTCACAACAACAGGACGTCCCAAGGGAAAGAAAAGAACGATTCTTTGTGTGCGTTTGTATGCGCGCGCGCGTGTGTGTGTGTGTGTGTGTGTGTGTGTGCGTGGCTGAGAGAGAGAGAGAGAGAGAGAGAGAGTAATTTGGTAGAGGGAGTGAGGGACAGGGGGAGATCAATAGGATGTGGGAACGCGAAGAGGATGTCGGGTCGTAAGGTTCGTTGGAACGAGGAAGGCAGGAAAGGAGAGAGAGAGCCGTTAACGAGCGGCCACCAAAGTGTGGGAAAACGGGGTGTGACCGTGTACCTGTGCGAGCAGCAGCAGCAGTGGCAACAGGAGACAAGAGGCGCGCGAAAGCGGTTCCGTGGCCATCGTGTAGGACTGACGAGGTTCCTCGTCCTTCGCTCTTCAAGAGCGACAGCAACAGCAGCAACGGCGGCAGCCTTAGCCTCAGCCTTAGCCTCAGCCTCAGCCTCAGCCTCAGCCTCAGCCTCAGCCTCAGCCACAGCCTCCGGGGGCCCGCTCGCGCACTTTGCACCACCTCAGCTCCTCGTCGCACCTTCCATCGCCGTGCGCTCCCTCTACACCAAGCGCGTGTTGTCCACACTCGTCCGCTTGTTTATTGGCTCAGGCCGCACCTGGAGTTCGGCCCCGGCTCTGCAGCGGCCAGCAACACCAGCTCCCGGCGAGCCATGTGCTCCCGGGGCCCGTGCATCCTGCGCTCGCTCTGCCTCCCTTCTCCCCACCACCACCGTCAACCCCCGACCGCTCTATTTCACTCTTGATCTCTCAATCTCCCCCTCGGTACGGCCCTGCGCGCGTCGCACCGCCCCCCCCCCTCCAAATCGTGCTCCCTCTCTCTCTCTTCCTCGCCCTCACAGGCAAGCCAATCTCGCGCTCCGGGACTCCTTGCCAGGGTTTTGCGCCGCTCGCGGCCACCTTCCGATCCTTCGGCCCGGAGTCTCGCGCTCCCCGGTGTCAATCTCCTTGGCGGGGAGCGCCCACGCACTCGACGTTGCCGCGATCTTGGCTGCGTTGGCACACTGCACGGCTCCCGTCGTCCGCTCGTTTACCTCGCGCACCCCGACCTACTCTGGCACGGACCACGGCCACGACTGACTGACCGCGACGGTCCTCGCAGCAGCGCCTGCCCGTGCACTTTCGAGTTTCGTTTCACGATCGGCTTCGCTCTCCTTCTCCCCGCTACCGCTCCCACTCCCTCGCTCCGTCATTCCCACTCCCCCACTCGCGCTCGCTCACTCTCTCTCTCTCTCTCTCTCTCTCTCTCTCTCCTATCCATCTAGCAACTGGGCCGTCGTTTTTGAGGGAGGCGACGATAGGTTAGGTTGGCCGAGGCGCCGCCGCGAGCGGGACAAAGAGCGCGCGTATAACGATAGTGTGTGCGTGCGCGTGTTAGTGCTCTGTGTGTAGCGCGCACGCACGCACGCATACACGAACGGGACCATGCGTGCCCTTAGCCGGAATGAACGGGAGGGCAGCGTTCGCCAATGGCTGCGACTACGCGGAGGAATTAGCCGCGTAGATTGTAAATCGACGTCGTGTGCGTCCGAAAAGAGGTAAGAGCGGAAGGGAGGGCTGCGACTAAGCCGCAGGTTTTTAGCATCGATGCACGTTGTGGCCGCGGCATTTGTGATATGCCAAAGAGAGAGGGAGGATCGTGGAGACCTTTCTGGAGTGGCGAGGCCGAGCGAGAGGGAGCGAGGAGCGACAAAGGCGTACCGACCGCCAAAACACTCGCAACCAACGCTGCGTAAGTGAGCGCTTTTCCTTTTTCTTCCCGTTCTTCCTCCCTCACCCCACCCCCGCCTTACAACAACGTTCTTCCACCACCGCCGCCACCCCACCCCCTCCCGTTCCAATATCCTCTTAGCGTTACCGATCGTCGTCCTTAGGCTCGATGTACGCGTAATTCAATCTCCCAGACGAGAAACAAAATCCAAAAGCGAAGCAGGGCACTACTTTAAAGACAGCGAACGATCCTGGAACTT